CAAATAACCCTCTCTGGGTTCTTCACAGAAAAAAAGGTCCATTTAACATAAACTTTCTGTTGTGCCGTGCACAATCTTAACAGGTCCAAGTTCAGCTTAGTTGTCAGAGCAGAATCTCTTACTTAAATGGCTCATATGAGCAGGCTCTCAAAGTGTTCCTTCCTTATAATCCTTTCGTAGGTTCCAGCAGGCTTGTAGACATTGCTGTTTGCAGCTCTYTCTCTCTCATCAACTTCCCTGTGAAAATCACAAAGCAAGCAGGCTGAGAAACTGAATTAAGTGATACAGCACCTACACAGCACAACCTGTACCACTACCAGTATGGTTGTGGAGATGGATTTTATCCCAGTAGATTTTATTATGATTATATTTTTATAGTCAGAATGACTCATTCAAGTCAGAAAAGTGAGCTTACCTTTGTATGTTCATCAGTGTGAACTTTGGGCCTGCATCTGGCTGGTGAGAAGTCGAATGTCAGGTTCCATTCTAGTCACTGCCASTCTCAAACACTGATGCARATGTTCATCTGTCAATCTTGATCTCATTGGAGTTTTCAGCAGCTTCMAGCGTGAAAAGGTTTGCTCGCAGATATTCGTGCTGCCAAAAAGTGTGGACATCTTCATTGCGTGTTTTCTGATGTTAGGGTACGTGTCGTTTGGGAGGGCGGCATAGAAGTCAATGAGACTGTTGGGCTTGAACGCGTCTTTCAGAACATCATACTCAGCCAACTCAAACTGATAAGAAGGCGGGGCTTCATCAGTGTTAGCAACAAAGGGCTTCTGGAAAAGACGGAATTCTTTTGCATAAACATGTAGTTCACGGAATCGCACACCGAACTGCGCCTTCAGCATTTCCAGTGCTTCCACCCACTTTTCAGCTGGAAACGRGACCGCTGGGTTCTCTGCAGAGAGGTTTTGTGTAGCAGGGAGATGGATGAAGCTGTGCTTTTTCTCTTGTCCCAAAAGCAGCTCTAGTTTCACCTCAAATGCTTTTATGTGGGAATACATTTCACAAATGAGCTTCCCCTGGCCTTGTAGCTGCAAGTTAAAGCTGTTCAGCATTTCTGTCATGTCTGTTAAAAATGTGAGGTGCCATTTCCATTCTGGGTNCTGGCAAACCACATCTAGGCCACCAAAGTCATTCTTTGCTSTATCTGGGCCGAGTGCCATTGCATTGTGTGGGCCAGAGCTGGYGGTGCATTAGGGGACTAAAGCCTGGGATTGGGGCTAACATGTAAAAACAGCTGGGTTATACTGCAGAATTGAATGGGAGTCAATGCTATGTCCCCGTAAAGATAGAATGATGGTTGTGTGTGTGTGTCAGATGCTCACATGCTGATTCACCTCTATATTAAGATCATGTGGAGGAAGTTAGCAACCGAGATAGAGACCTATTCATATATTCAGCATGACTGTGTGTGTGTGTGTGTGTGTGTGTGTGTGTGTGTGTGTGTGTGTGTGTGTGTGTGTGTGTGTGTGTGTGTGTGTCCACTTTATGGGGCTACTCAATAAAAGCCGGGCCGTGATCCACCGGTGTGCATTCATCATCCCATTACGGCGACAAAACCCGGCTCCGGCTACATGAAAGGTGGAATGAATCACCGACGTTGAGCCGTCAATAAAGTCATTTCTGCGTCTCTGCGGCGTGGTGCCCCCCCACCCCCACCCCCCTCCATTATTCAACCAGCTTTATCAGCACCTTGGAAATTACCGGCGGCTCGTAGCTCGGGCCCTGCCTCGCTGTGATTAAGGGCCCTGCCATGGAGCGCTGACAGCAGCTCCGGATGGACCTGGGGCTTTATTTTTTTTATTTTTATTTTTTATTCGAGGGCCCCTTTAATCCATGTGTTCATCCCAAGGAGCGTAGCCGCCCGTCCCTGCCCCTTGGCCCCGCCCCCTCCCTCCACCTCCAGGCTGAAGACTAATTAAAAGCTATAAATGATGTTCTGTGGCTGCAGATAAGAGCGAGCTGAGCTCATTGAGCCGAGGAGATACTGTCCTAATTGGAATTTAATTAAGTAGCCAGAGCTCGGGCCTGCGGGATGAAGATTTCACCGCAGATCAACACGTCCGCACTTCCTCCGCACTTATTATCACTATTAATATTATTCTTCCTCCAAATCACCCAATTAGTGCTTTAAAACATCCATTTTTATTGCAGCTTAAAGCTTTAATTATTACGCGTATTAAGGATTTTTTTTTACTTATCGTGTTGTTCATTTAATTTAAACCAAAACGTAAAAGAAATACACACAAAATATAAAAAA